AAAAAAAAGAATAAGCAGAGGAACTGCTTTAAAAGCCCAAAGATAGTATGAGGTGAAAGCAAAGGCTATGAAACTTGTTTTTTGAAAAGGAGAAAAGGCAGTTTTTCCCAAGTAAACAAGGATGGAAACGTTATTAAAGAGATAAGTGTATATTTTTTGATGAAGGGAAAGGTGTGGCAATATGCCTTGAGATAAAACATCAGTAAGCTAAAATAAATTATGAGAGCTGGCTTCGATCTTGCTAAAGCATTGAATCCCTACAGTGTGTGTGAGGGAATTATACATTAAAATGTCCCTGGGTCTTTTTTTATTTTTTTGCCTCCCCCAGAAGCTGACTGTAACCCAAGCGCTCATGTGCAAGCAGTTCATTGAAAGTGTTAAGAACACAGGTGAGGTAATACAGAGAAGCGAAGGAAGTGTTATTAAGCATGCTACCACAGTGTGAAAATGGAGCCTAATCCCTGGGGAAGCTCTGGAAAACAGTGCAAAATACACGTATAGGAATTCTCCCAGCCAGGGAATGATGAGAGCTGGAGCACCAGTGAGTCACTGCTAATTGTCTTTGGGGATATCAATTTACTGGCATTCTGTCCTGCTGTGATTTCCAGGAAAATGGTTCTGGCAGTCCATAGATAGTCTCTGACAAAGACGCAATAAGTAATTGTTGGAAGCCATGCTGGTATGCATGGAAATTATGGTTATGGATAGGGCGTTGACAGTGCTTGCTACATCAAGGAGTTTTTCAAACAAACCAGCCTGTGCTCTTCTATTCCCTTCACCCACTACCCCAAATTCTGACCCCTCTTTTATATGACAGTATTGAGAAGAAGTGCATGTAGACATCTCTCCCTCAGAAAGATGCCCCAGCAATGAATAGCATCAGCTTATTGGTTAAAGACCGTAGGAGTTAAATGAGAAAAGGTTTCCACTGGACTGAATAAAGCCATGGTGGGAGGAGAGAAAAACTCTTTTTAAGGTTTCTTTGCAGGAATATGATTGTAAGTCCACAAGAAATGAATGAAAAAATTCCTGGAGTTAAGGTGAAAATCGCAAGAACTCATATGATCCAGTCAGCCTTGTCTTTGACATACAGTAACATGAGGTGTTCTGAGGAAAAGGAGTGAAGATTGTGAGTGTGGGAGTTATTGTGGTTTATGAACTGATTTTGTGAGTCGATGAAAGGCTAATGAGGCTAGGGACTTAATGGTGCCAGAAAGAAGGGCAGAGCCGAAATGTATAAGCATGGAATTAGGCTGGAAAGGTAAGAGAAGTCAGAAGGGGCCCCCAATGTACTGAAAGAATACAGAAGGGGGAGGAAACCAAAGGTCATATGATGACAAAGAGTACGTGCAACAATTATGGAGGAAACAGAGCAGGAAGAAAGGATTAGATTGAAGTGGAGCCTTGTGATTTAATTTTCAAAATGGAGCAATTCAGAGTGTCAGACTATGACTGAAATGACATGGAGGTTAAAGTTTGGAAATGTGGAGCTTGAGAAAATACAAGGCCAGGCCTTCTGATTTTATATATATATAAATATAAATATAAATATAAATATAAATATATATATAAATATATATATAT